TGGAGATCACAGGTTTTAGTGGTCTGAGAGTTAAATAATGAAATAATTAAGCTATTTTACATTTAATTCTTATTCTCTGGATGTTTCGGATTGTTTGTTCACTTACATCACATGACCTTTTACTGCAAAGGCAACAAAATGGATGAAAGGAAATGTAGTCGCATATTAATAAATAATCTGTCTTTGCACAGAAACCGTGACACTGTGTTGCGCAGCTAGCATAGAGCATATCACGTGTTAGAGAGTATAAAGTAATACTCAGGCCCTAGTTATTCAAATGTTGGATAGCCCTATCATAAAGATAAATCGTAAGATAAGAATTAGGAAAACCAATTTTGCCATAACGTTTATATAGATTTATCCAATGGATAGCGTTAATCCACCCCTCGAACAAGTGGTCTCAGGTGTATTAATATTATTAAAAGTAAACTTTCATATGCTCATTTGTAGGATCGTTGTCAACAGTGACTTTAGAAGACATTAAGAAACTGCAGTTTGTCGAGTACTGTATACTTGAAGTTATTCGCCTACATTCTCCTGGTGTTATTGCCCGAAAACTTACAGAACCCCTTCAAGTGCAGGAGTTCACAATTCCAGCAGGCGATACGCTGATGATCTCACCTTATTGGACGCATAGAAACGAGGCTGTTTACCCAGATGCAGACTCCTTTAATCCAAACCGTTGGAAGGAGACACCTCGCTCAGATAAACCCGCTGCAGCAGAGAATTTCATTGCGTTTGGTGGTGGTCGTTTTCAGTGTCCAGGTCGTAGGTTTGCTTTGATGGAAATCCAAATGTTTGTATCTGCAATCCTCTGTGTTTACGACATGNGTACTGTATACTTGAAGTTATTCGCCTACATTCTCCTGGTGTTATTGCCCGAAAACTTACAGAACCCCTTCAAGTGCAGGAGTTCACAATTCCAGCAGGCGATACGCTGATGATCTCACCTTATTGGACGCATAGAAACGAGGCTGTTTACCCAGATGCAGACTCCTTTAATCCAAACCGTTGGAAGGAGACACCTCGCTCAGATAAACCCGCTGCAGCAGAGAATTTCATTGCGTTTGGTGGTGGTCGTTTTCAGTGTCCAGGTCGTAGGTTTGCTTTGATGGAAATCCAAATGTTTGTATCTGCAATCCTCTGTGTTTACGACATGGAGTTAGTAAATTCGGAAGTTCCTTTGCCTTCCCCGCGACACGTGGTCGGCGTCCCACATCCTGACTCAACTTGTTATGTGAAAATACGCAAAAGATTCAAGACTGAAGCATGACTGTCTTTCCCTTTTTGTCCTTTTTTACAACAATAGCAAAATTGAAAATGATGACTGTATGAATTTCATATTATTTGAACCGCGGAATGAAGAATTAAATAAAGCCGGGAAGATCGTCGTAGCGAAAGACTCACCTTCGCAGTCGCGAAATGAAAGCCTGAAAAAAATAAGGCTTGCCGAGATGCGAACCCTGACCTGGTCAATACCGGTGCAGCGCTCTAACCAACTGAGCTAGCAAGCTGCTCCCTTTCCAAACTTTAAAAAAAAAAGAAAAAAAACCGTGGTAGGGTCTATTGCTGCAGTAATTACTGAGCCATAGTGCAGAAAAAGTTCCAGGGATAGATCTTCGAGCTTGCGAATGGAACAGCATATTTTCCAAAAATTCTCTCCCCCGCAAAAAGGACAACCTCGCGTAATGGGAAGCGCCTTTTTTCCCATTGTTACCCCACACATTCAACTGTTTCTTTCAACTGTCGCGCAATCCAAACTCCATGATCCCTCATGATGACGTAATTAGCATTATATAAGACCATGCAAGGGTGTTAGTTTGCAACGGCCAGCTGGAGAGAAAGTCGAACACGTTTCGGAAACGGTGACAATTTCTTCCGAAAGCAGCTCCACCACGCCAGTGTGCACGTCGACGACTTTGACCAGTATTTTTTACCTCGGTTGTCTCCACTACTGGGAGTTCTTATGTTGGTCTATAATAATCCATGTTTTAATTATCCATGTTTTATCAATCCATGTTTTGTTGTTTGTTGTTTGTTCCAGCCCATGTTTTATCATATGCCGTAATTTATTTTTTTTTTTTTTGATAAATTATCACAGGGTCAAAGTTTTTTTCTCTCCTGTTTTTTGTAGGTTCAAAACATTCCAGACCTTTTATTGTAATTTGTATTCACTGTGTAAGCGCTGGGTGTGCTGCAACCGCATGGGTCATTTGTGAATTGGGAGGCGCTGTGTGGGCTTGTGTCACGTGAGATTTGAAGAATCGTGATGCGCTGTGTGGACTCACGTGATATGAGATTTACACACAAAAAAGAAAAAAAATGTTGCGCTGTGTTAGCCTACGAAAGCATCCGTTTCTCCTCGCTCTTCGTCGCTGGGGACGTTTCGCGAAATGTCCTCAGCGGCGAAGAGCGAGGAGAAACGAATGCTTTCCCAGGCTATGTGTGGGCTCACCTGACATGGAAGTTAAAAAATCGTGATGCGCTGTGTGGGCTCATGTAACATGAGATTTAAACACACCAAAAGAAAGATTAAAAAGGAAAAAAGTCGTGATTCGCTGTTGAACTCACGTGACATGTAGTTCGACATTCAAAGCGCTTTTTTTAACCCTATGCTTCGTTGGCGGCGTTGGAGTGATTAGGGTTAAGCACTGACGACGATAACGGCAACGAGAACGGCGAAAAAACAATTGGTTTAGAATAAGAAAACAACAAATTTGCACGTGCATCAAGCTTTTTTGTACATTTCTTTGGCGTAGTCGCACGACTACGACCTGAAAATGCCTAAATTTCACGTCTTGTCGAGGACGGGAACACAAGACAACAACTTTCTTTTCCTTTTCCTGAACTTTGATACAGTCTTTTAGAACAACTCCAGAACAATTTGCCAGCGTTTGACATTCGAGATGGAATAAGTGCGATAAAGTTTAAGGCAGTGCAAATTCACTTTTCAAGTAACGTTTCCGTAGCCGTCGTCGTTGTTGCTTAAGCTCCCTTTTGCCTAGTCCCTATACTGCGTCTTTCCAGGCCCTGTCGGTCAATGCAATTTGGGCGGGAGACGCCTAGACAATCTCGGAGTGCGCATGCGTGAGCATTTTTGCATTTTTGAAAAGTTCCTACGTTCAACTGGAACAATCATTATCTATAAATAACTTTGCGCGTGAATATCCTTCTCTTAAAGATCAGTACTATTGACACTATTACAAAAATAACTAACCTTGCTTCTGTTATCAAAGAACAAAAGTATTACTTTGATTCGGAAAGAATACTACTGTATAAGTAATTATAAGTAAAATGATATTTCTTTATTGATAAAAAGATTTGAAACAGTAGTTTGTTGACATTCTACCAAATTTAGAGACCAAATTCAACAGACTGTCCGATTAGTTTGATAAGTTTCCAAATTCGAAAATTAAATTACATAAAATATTTCGAAGTGAAATGATAACGAGAAATTTTATCCTCGTTCGCTTTTATCTCTTTGCTTTCTATCGAAAAGTATAGGTTCTTATTTATATTTGAATAAAGAAATCGAATGGTTCCGATTCTTGATCAAATGATTTTTTTGCTACGCTGTTTTGCTTAGCCTACAAATAGTTTTTGAGACGAAATAAAGTTCAAATTAGTTTAATAATGAGATAAATGAAAAAGAAAGGCCAAAGGACTTTCAACAATGAAAACGTGCATAGAATAAAAATGCTCGGTTTACCTCTTTATCCTCTGTACTCTCCATGGCTACTGGACATCTTTCATCAGCGCGGAAAAGTTATTGACAGCTCTCCCTATTCCAAAAGCTCCGCCCCAAGTGAGACAAAATGTCTCACTTCTCCGAGTTTGTCTGGGCCTCAAAAACTTTCTCGGACCACGTGACCCGAAACGCATTGGCCGCGCATAATGTCCACCAGCGTTTTTTTCTTTTTTTGTTTTCGATGAATTTTGCGAGTTCGGCGAGGACGAGCGCACCCTCTTGTGCTGGCGGATAATAAAATTACGACTCCGCTTACGACTCCGACTCCAGACTGTTCACAGTCCTCTATTTTCCGTAAGATCGTCGAGATCGAGCGCTTTGCGTTACGGGCTGGCACCTAGTATGAGTGGCGGGGGCGCTATAATCCCCGACGCCCGCCCCCTCGGTACCTAAGACTCGCTATATCTCGTCGACAGTCTGGACAGTCTACTCCGACTCCGTCGCTAGTGAAAACCAGTTGAAAACCAGCCTTAATACGCGTGCTCGTCAATAGAGAGAAGTGTAAGGTAGTGTTAGGCATGATTGCAAAATTTCCGGATCTGAACAGTCTTTCTTGACTCAATTCTTGACAGAGACGCCTTGAAATGGCGTTTCTGTCAATTTGTCGAACGATGGAAGAAAAGTTTGGGCTACCGTTTTGTTCGAGGATGCATTCATGCACAGCAAAGTCATACATGTCAATTTTTTCGATTTTTTTTACCATATTTGCAGGATTACGTTTTTTTGAAAATTAGAAATTTTTTTTCCATGACAATGTGGCGTGACGACTTCTCCTCTCTGTATCTAAAGAGAAATGAGAGGTCTGTCAACAGGTTATGGGAGGATTCTCTCTTCTCTAGACTCTTCACAGAACTCTATTTTTACGTAAGATCATCGAGATCGAGCGCTTTGCGTTACGAGCTGCCATCTTGCATGAATGTCAAAACTACTTAGGGGGCGGGGGCGGTTTGGGAGGAAGCGAGAATTTTCCTCTATTTTTTTTCTATTTTTCTCCATCTTTGAAAATGAAACAAAGTACTCTGAATTTATTAATCATGTCAGCAATCCTGAACGTAAACGTACCGCCTCCAAAGTTAGGATAGGAAATCAGAACTTAAAAATCGAAACTGGAAGATTTACAATTCTCAAAACCCTTGAAGATCTTAGAATTTGTGATCACTGCAGACTAACTTTCTATGGGAGCACATCCTTCGGAGAGACACATCATTTGCGCATAAGTGACATGGTCCCTGACTGCTGATGCAGGCTCAAAAGTAAACTAACATTTCCGGTGATCGGCGACACGACAGCAGCGAGGAATGAAAGTTTTGACCAGAAATTGGCGATTTCTGAGGTAAGTACATCTTCTCGTCAGGACATGCCAACATTTTCTTCCTTTAGGTCTCTTTCCTGCAAAGTAACTCGTAAGAGATTTCCCTGTAACATGCAGTTGTTCACTCATATTTTGTTATCCCACTTACATTTAAGGCTCAAATTTTAACAGCTGATTTTAAGCTTGTAAGCTTACATATGTAAAATACTATGCTAGAGTAGAATTATAGTTTTTTTGGCATCTCTTTGGTTTGAAAAAATAAATAAATAAAAGCACCTGGAAGTAGTTACGTTGAAAAATCGAAGAGATCGCAGAATAACCGGCCTGCTAAATGTCTTAGGGCCTGTTTACAAGGAGAGAGGGTTACCCTTGTGCTTGGGTTACCCTAGCAAGCGGTTAAAGTTAGCCCTGGTTTACAAGCAGATTTCACGGGTAGGGTTACCCTATCACCCGGGTTAACTTTACAAGCTTTGCTGACGCGTTTCCTCATGGGTGACATTCTTTGTAACGGACCAAAATTTGCATTAATCTTGGAGCTCTATGGAAAACACGTTGGGAAAAAAAGAGAAAATATTATCATCGTAGACAGAATATAACTTTTTTTTCAGATGTTTATAATTAAGCTCAGAAATTGCATAATACCATTCAAATTGGCACGATTACTGGTCACGCATGACGGCGGAAAGTTGACCCGGGTAGGCAAGTTATCCCTAGCTGAGCATTCCCAAGGCAGGTAGAGTAACCCTCTTGCTAGGGTAACCCTAGCACTCAGGTAGGGTTACCCTGGGGCTAGGGTAACCCTACCTGCCTTGAAAATACATTGTGCGAAAAAAGAAGAAATATGCAAGTGCCAGGGTAACCCTCCCTCCTTGTAAATAGGACCTTACTTGAAACACTGCTCCCGCAGTCCCACACTCCCGCAGTTGCTGAAAAGTGATTATATGTGAGTATACAACCAGGGGCATAGCTACCTATACGCATGGTATGCATAAGCGTACCTGGAAAACTGTCAAGGGTAAAAATAATATCATAGATATTGGCTATTAACAGCCCTGGTTGATGACCAATAGGGCTGTCTTGGTTGCTTATTTTAAGTCAAGAGGGGTGCATAATTCAGGAAGGAATTGTGATCAGGGGAAGGAGCCAAATTGTCTTAGCAATCAGTGGTGAACTACTTTTTTATTCACACTGATTTAGTCTAGACATCATGCCAACTCTCTGACTTATTATAAACCAGTGTATGTAATATTCTTTATAGATTTCTTCCACAATTAGAAGGCTGGAATAAAGAATTACTGTGCAGAAATTGCTTTTCTGACAAGGGCAGCGGACCACATCATCTTTGTTCTTCAAGTACTGCGGTAATTAAATAAATTATAAAACTAGAAATACAAATCTCGCAATGACCCTCACGAAACTGTTTTTTAGTAGCACGACTCAAGTAAGCCCTGTCGCTAGGCAACTATGGATACCAAAGCAATAGAAAAAAAGAGGTATGATAGAAGCAAAATCGCAGCCTGCTTGCGATGATGTCATGCTGCTGGGACGCAATCGTGACTTTGTTGTCAGGCAGCTGCGGATACCAAACCAACAGAAAGAAAGGTTTACGACCAAAGCCTAATTGCACTCTGCTTACGATCTTCACGCGTGCCGCATGACAAAATTATAAATTTGCTTTCACGAGGCACTTCACTCAGAATAAATTGCTTAGCATCTATATCATGGCCACCCACTATACTAAATAACGTCTTTCTATAGCTGCTTAGAAATCTTTCATTGCACACAATGTGATAAATTGTATCACTTTGAAAGTTTAAAATATTTTGTATTGTGTGAATAAAAGTTATAGACAATTTATTATTGGATGAGGTTTTTTTGATATCCAGAATAATCATGGACGAGGTAAGCGTTATCAGCTGAGCCAAAGGCCGAGGCTAATAACCCTTGCCAAGACCTTGATTTACTGGATATTGCAAGAACCGAATCTAATAAATTATACATGTAATTATTAGATGTGGTTTTTGTTATTGTTTTATTATACATTGTTTTGACGAAAAGAATGACAAAGACACTGTTGCACGGAACTGAACTGACCTTGCTGTTGGAAATCATGCATTGCGCGTGCAACCTACAGATTAGTCATATTTTATGTGCTAGTAGATAACCAACTAATCTGTCAGTTGCGCTGATTTTCAAAATTAGCTGTAGGCTGTTAGCCAATGAGAAGACAGATAGTGTGTACAATGTATACTAATTATAATTCTTTTTTCTGTTACTCAGGTGCACAATGTAGAATCTCGTTGGGTTAATCTTCTACTCAAAATGGCTGATCATGATGTACCCACCACTGAGGCTCTTCCATCACAAAATAGGATGACTCAAATCCGTGAAATGTTGAGTACAGCAGTTAGAATGAGGAGAACAGATTCTTCTGGTGACCTTATGCCAAATGTAAGCAGCGCTTGCTGTTTTAGACATATTTTNGGGGGGGGGGGGGGGGGGGGGGGGGTGTAAATTCCCATAAATTTTGTGTGTGCCGCCCAGGGTCTTAAACCCTGGCCCTATTTAAGGAGGAGAAAAAACAAAAACTGATACCCTATTTAAAGCCCAAAACTGAAAAGTGAGACCCAATTTAAGGGAAAAACAAAACTAAGAATTTTATGTAAAACACACAAATCTTACTTAATTTGCTTTCTTAATACTCTAAGGTAAAGTTGCATTTAGACAGATGAATTGTTTCTCGTTTAGCTGGGCATTTATTTATATATGCCTGTATATAATAGTGGTACCCTCTCTAATGATGGCACAGGGAACACAATACCCTGGGTGCCAGAGACTTTTCTAGTGAGGTTTCCGGTTTCTGTCAAGTCTTTATAGTGATCCTTGCGGCCTCTGCCATCACTTAAAATTCCCGCTGCACATGAGAAAAACCTCTGGTACCCAGGGTAGGAACACAACACCAACAAGGACAAAAGTGGTACCCTTTATAATGATGCATGGAAACCCCTTCCAGTACAAAAAAATGGAGAACTTGAAGTTATATTCGGTCCTTTCCAATTTCTAATTTTCTTGCAGGCTGTTGCTAAGGAGGTTAGGCACTTTTACAGTGGCTTAATCACAAAGGTATTAAAACATACAACTAGTGTCTCTTTAGTTGTATCATTTTAATAAACTTATATTTGACACCAGCACAGCACAATGTTCATTTGAGACTGTGAGCCATCCCTTTTTAGTCGATCAAGTTGTGGCTCGGCAGTTGGAAAGCAAAAGAGCTGAGAGGAGAACTGGAGAGATGCAGAAAGTAAAGGACTGCTCTCTTCTCTTCCCAACTGCCGCATTAAAGTGATGGGAATGTAAATCATAGTGTGAGTTGTAGGGGTGTTATTATAATTATTTGGGCTCACTATCTGTGTTCTCATTGTCTATAACAGCCTACAGTTAGTTTTGGAAATCACGCCACCTTCAGATTAGTTATATATCTGCTAGCAGATAACTGGCTAACCTGTGGGTTGTGCATGCAATGCATGATTTCCAAAAACAATGTCGTGTCAGTTTCATTCGATGATGTGTTGTCATCATTTTCTTCCAAACAATTAATAATAAAAAATTGTTAGATTCTGTTTTTGTGATAGATATCTGGAATAATCAAGGTCTCGATAAGTGTTGTCAGGCTCGGCCTTTGGCTCTGCTGATAACAAATGCTGCTGCCAATAAATGAATTGTTTAGAATTAGCAGATTTTGGTCTCACTTAGGGTGTTCAGGATAGAGAGCTAATACTTTTTATCCAGTCAATTGTATGGCCGAATTGTTTTCTTTAGGAGTTAATTAAATCCTGAGCCAAGTCAGATTTGTTCTTTTTAAGGTTTTGACAGTCGTCCCCATCTTTTAGTCCCTCTCCCTCCACCCTCCACCCTCCACTCCTTTGTCTGTTTCCCTCCTCCCTTGTTCGCCTGTAACATGCCTGCTTGTGCAACATTCTTGAGAATCTACTAGCAATCTAAATGTTTATTTTGAAACTTGCATGTCATGACAGGCTGAAAAACTGGCGTTTTTTCTTGTCCTCGAACGTGATCTCGGAGTTGACCATGAAGAAGTTATGGAAACTGCGGCAAGCCTATCAAAAGCTCAGGTCAGTGGCTAAAAGTGATTTTAATTTATTCTCTATTTGGGCTGACCAATTTCGGATATTTCTTTTTCTTCGCATGCAATTACTTTCCTTCCTAAATGAGTGACTGTTCCAGACAAGAACATTGTATGCAGTGGTTTGTGGGAGTGTATACGGCAACGAGGATTACTAGGATTGCCCTATTGTAGCCAGTGGCTTGATTGTCTTGGAGAACTAAGATTTTCTCCTTTGTCTCACGCCCCTGGGTATTTACGATTGTTTCTTCCTTCCCAAAGCATTTATTTTTGTAGCTCATTTCGTTGATAAGTTCTGTAGTATGAGAAAATAGCCGAAATTTTGCGACGCCAACACTGGTTTCCTCTCGAAATGACGTCTGAGAAACGAGCGCAGAACTTCCACTGATGACCTGTTACTACCCGGATCTGGGTAGTGCCTATGATTCGTCGTGCGGCGTAGGAAATTTGTTTCAACCAATCAGAAGCACTACCCAGATCTGGGTAGTGACGCGTCATCAGCATGGAATTTCTGCGCTCGTTTCTCAGACGTCATTTCGCGGGAAAACCACTGGCGTCGTGAAATGTCGGCTGTTTTCTCCGGCCATAAGACTTTTTATTTCATTTTTTTTATGGCGCAGAAAAATGGCGTTCCAGCCATGTTGAGAGCTGAAGACAAGCTGCGACAGGCGCTTGAGCCGGCTCATATCCAGTTGTTATCACAGATCAGCAAGCTGCAGGGAGGCGTCAAGGATATTGTGGACATGAGAAATGATCTGCTGGTAAGATAGAAGAGAGGGCGGATAAAAATGAGTAACAACTGAGTGCAAGTTGATTGACCTTTGTGTTAACTCACCCATTGTACACATGAATCCACTCCCCAATGCCCACACGTCTACATTTTCTCCACTTGGTGTTAGAAAATTTTAACCGAAAAAAAAGCTGGTTTAGTGTTCGTTGTTCTAAAACGTGTTGTATCAAGGGTTAGGGTTTTTGACGTCCTACCAAAGAACTTATCAAAAAGTGTGCGAGCTAACCAAAGATATGGTTCAGAATACTTGCGGTGTGTAAGTTGAACATGTTTCAAGTTGTAGAACTAGCATTAGGAAAATAAAAATAAGCCAAACCTTGAACAATCAATGTAAAAATAAACTGACCAGTCGTCCTTATTAAAGGAGTCGGCTACATTTATGCATAGAAACACTGATCACCAAAGCAACGTTCTCAGTTTCGTTGAGTCACAGACTTTGGTTACGACCGGCAGTTCGGCACCTTTTTGAACAGTAAAATTCTGGTTGACTGTCAGATGCAAAAGGTTAAATGTGAAGTGTCTTTTATTACCAAGGAAGGATTGAACGATGAGAAAGACCCTGTTGCCAGACAAGAGCTTCAGGCTTTAAGCACCTCCATCAAGAATCTACTTGCTCAATGGTTTGCAGTTGGATTGTTGGATCTTAAACAAGTCACGTGGGATTCACCTGGAAGCATTCTTGAAAAGGTACAAGGCTGTGCTCTAAGTATAATTGAAGGGAGCCCAGTGCCCTGAACCTGTGAAATCTGGGGTGCCCAGCATATGATTTTTATGAAAAAACTAAGAAATTCTAGTCGTCAAGCCCAAAAGTTAAGTACCAGGGGACACCGGGCTCTGCTAGAGCATAGCCCTGAGGTACTTACCCGAAATCGATCGTTGTCTTTGTTTTTCTTGTTGTTGTTGTTGTTATTGTTTACGAATTAACGTTGCATAATTATGCTAAAACTCAGAACGCCGGAACCGCACAGAAAACCTGGCAAAAGATAAAATGAGCACAGCGTACTAATCTGGGCTTAGAAGTAAATAGTAATTAAGGTGACTGCCAGTGTGAATAGAAATTTACTCTGGTGCAGTTGCGGGGATAATATAGTGCATCAAGGTGCCGTTGCTACTCATTGTTGATCACTTACTGAAGCAATCAGTCATACTGGGGCATGCGCAGACTAAATTGAATAGACTGTTATGTCCAGAAATACTCGCTAATGAGATTCTTGCTCCTAATGGAAGACATCAAGAAGTGTCCCGTAACCTTAATCCTCACCTGAACGCAAGCAATTCTGTCAAAAATGAAATCATATGGAAATTCAAATAATTGTGTTTAATATAAAGTACTTATCACGGTAAGTGTTGTGTGTATTTCTGAACAAAAGTGACTTGGGAATAATGCGTCAAGTGATATCGCTTCTAGTCATTAGGGTAAGACGTAATTGTAATAGAGTGACACTGATTAACGTATTTTACCCGGTTCTGTATGCCTTTTTTACGTGTGTTTCGAGTAATTTGATTGCCTGTAGTTGTGTTAAAACTACAACAACAATAAGATTGTTGTTAGTCTACTGACAGGGTTCTTTGTAAAATTGTGTATTTGAAAGCCTCTTCCTGAAAATCGCAGAATTACTGCATATCCCCAGAGATAAGAACGAGTCTTTCACAATCGCAAAAATTAGTTCCCGCAAAAAATCTCTAATCCGCAAAATTATACTTCCGCAAAAATTTTGTGGCACACTGTAACTTATTTCTCTTACCGTGCAAGAAGATTGGACGAGCGAAAAAAGCGTGCTACCTCCTCTCCCCAACCCTCAAGCGGCTTCTCGCACGTTTTTTCTCGATCCATACTCCCCTGGAACAGGCTAAAGGAAGGCTTTTCTCACATGTCTTAGTACATGCTCGTTTCTTTTAGATTATACGTTACGAGGCAGTACATTCTATGTACGGCTGGGAAGATCTAAAGCGGCGGCTTGCTCCTGACAGGCGGTGTTATATCTACACGCATCGCTCAATGCCTGGGGAACCTGTGGTAGTCTTACATACGGCCTTGGAATATGAAATTTCTGATAATATTCAGGTTTGTTTAATAACAGTTTGATTGAAACATCATCGCAGTTTAAAATGAATCACGGTCTAGAGGCGATTTTTCTTACCTTCCCGGAAGAAAGGAAAATGGTTAGAATTTTCCGGAGTATTGAAAAATCGGAATAAAATTATAGTGTTTAATTACGAAGGAAAGTTAAAGTTTTGGTTTGAATTATCGAGATTTAGTTCTTTGGCTCCCAAGCTGCTTAGTCCTAAGAAGACATGTTGGACAAAAATGCCGTCACTTTGGTCCGTAAACAAAGCGACAAATCAAAAAGTACAGAACTTACGTGAAGTTTCCACGAGCCAAAAGAACACATGCATAAGAAGCTACATGTACTCTAGGGCGCTCTCTCTTTTCTTGACTTCCTAATTTAGTACATCAAAGTAAACATTTCACAGTGATTCGTGGGTAAAGCGAAGTAGGAAATAGGCAAGTCTGGAGAATTTATTGGTACCATTGCTACTGCTCCCCGCTCTACATAATTATACGAAGGCAGTGATGGAGTTTAGTTGTTATGAGAACTTTTTATTTTTTATTCAGATTATACTTAGTGAACCAGAGGTTGATCGAGACGAGTATGAATATGAACTGGAGAAGAGGACTACAGCTGTATTTTATTCCATTACCTCGACGCAGAAAGGTGATATTGAGCGTGTTTTTGTATATGGACATAAAAACTCGTCTTGAAAATCAATGAGATAGTTCCGCAACTGACAGAATCCTCTTGACTCTCTCTCTAACGGAAACCTCTATTAGACGGACACCTAGAGTTGGTCCCTGTCTTTCTTTACTCCGTTTATTTGACTCTCTATACGACGGCCATCTCTCTGAGATGGACACTTAATGCCAATCCCAAAGGTGTCCGTTTTAGAGCGAGTTGGCTGAATGCTAGACTTGAAAATCAAGAACATAGTTCAACTTACAGAATCCTCTTCTACTCTCTCTTACTGGACACCTCTATAAGACGGACACCTCTGTAAAACGGACACCTCTATAAGACGGACACCTCTGTAAGACGGACAGCTCTGTAAGACGGATTCCTCTGTAAGATGGACACCTCTATAAGACGGACACCTCTGTAAAACGGACACCTCTGCAAAATGGACACCTCTGTAAGACGGACACCTATGTAAAACGGACACCTCTGTAAGACGGGCACCTCTGTAAAACGGACACCTAAAGTTGGTCCCTGCCTTTCTTTCTCCTGTTATTTGCCTTCCCACAGGTGTCCGTCTTAGAGCGAATTGACTGTATGCTAGTCATGAAAATCAAGGAGTTAGTTTAGTTGACAGAATCCTCAGTTTCTACCCCAAAATGTGTTTACGGAGACTGTCTCTTCTGCACAAGGTCTAATCCGTAAGTCCCAAAAATGACTAACATCAATTTTCTCTTAACAGCATCAATACATATTGAAGAGAAAAGGTTATGAGAATGAAATTATAACTTAAGGGAAAATGCTCTGATCTGTTATCAAATTCTCTCAACTAATTATAGTCAGTGTGTGGAGATATGTCATGAGTATGTGGGTATTGGGGGTGAATAGGTTCGGTGAAGCCTCTTCGGCATTCTTTCAAATGGATTCGTAAACGTATATCATCGATCCTTTTAGAGTGGTTTTCGTTTGAGTGTCGTAAAACCAAAACCAAAGTAAATACTCTGGCCAATCACATAGGACACAGACAATACATTGAACCAATCAAAACTCGAAGTAATTACATGTGGCTGACGCAAAGCGCGGGAAAATGCATGCGAGCGCGTCACAATTGGCTTTGGTTTTACTTCTGATTGGATGAAAAGGTGGCGCGAATCTTTTAAGCCAATCGCATCGTGTAGAAAGTGCAAAACCAATTACTTTTCGACACTCAAATGAAAACCGCTCTAAAAGCTGAATGAGGCTTTGTTCACACTATATCGAAGCTTTTGCACCGGCACGGAAACCATACTGGGTATGATTTCTGTTCACACGCAAGAACAGTAATTTCGGCGCGATTTCTGTAACCGAGCGAAGCTGCGCTGCGCCAATCTTTAAAGTGAAGAGTCAGATATTGGATAGATGTTCATACTCATTATCCGGTACAGTGTTAAAATAGCCTAAGACAATACTCTTGGGTTCGAAACGATAAAATCGTAGCAGGCGCGGATCCACACCGGTTTTCATCGTTTTACGGAAATCGGTCACATTTTTCATATTAAATATATTTTTAATAATAAAAATGCTTTCCAGTTGAAATCTGGCCAGTATCCCGTCTGAATGACTCGGAAACCCAGGAAAGGGACTTTAAGGAGTAAAAATCAAAACATTTCTTGGGGGAGCCCGCCTTGGACCCCACTAGAAGCTTGCGCCTTCTGCGCTCGTTTAGCAAATAAGTCAGTATTTATCCTAGATCCGCACCTGCGTAGTAAGGTTGTTGTTGTTATTGTTTTCCTGCAGGACTTAGTGGTGTAGATCTTGGTAATTTTCTAATAAAACACGTGGTAGAGCAGTTACAGCACGAGTTTCCAAACATCACGCAGTACTCAACACTGTCTCCGATTCCTGGGTTTAGACAGTGGCTTAAATTACAGATAAGCCACGCTCTAGACCAGCAAGGTAGGACCCTGTATAAATATTCATATTTACTGACCTCAGAACAACGGCTCCTGATGGAATACGCGGTGGCCGAGTTTATGGCTAGTGCTTTGAACTCCGTATTAAGATGTCCGGCTTCGCTCCCCGCTGGGGTTATCAGGTAGCTTAAACAACAACAACGGCAACGAAAACGGGAAAAAAAGCAACAGGTTTAAATTGGCAAAACGACAACGCTGAACGTACATCACGCTTTTTTGCACATTTCTTTGCCGTCGTTGTTCGATTAGGACGTAAAACTGCATCCTTTCACATTTCGTTGAGGACTTGAACACACAAGGCAACGATTTTCTAAATTATTTTTTGATTAAGATACAGTCCTTTAGAATTCAAGCCCAGAAAAATCTCGCCAACATTTGACAAATTGAAAGACATGGATCTTGAGCGATGAATTTTGAAACATGGTATATTCAGTTGTTAAGAGACGTCTTCGTCGTCCTCGTTGCTTCAAGAGGAAGCTTCCTGTTATGTTGTGTTCTTGCACAAGACACCATTATGGTGCCTCACTTCACCCATTGACCCTTTTAATTAGTAGGAGTGACTAACATCAATTTTTTTCTTACAATATCCTTACATAATCAAGAGAAAAGGTTAGGAAAACTACAGGAAAATGCTCTGATCAAATATTAAATTCTTTCAGGAAATGTATGGAGATCTTGGAGCCATTGTTGCAAATTACGCGAGGCACCCAAACAAACTCTAGGGAACTTAAGCAAGGACGTTTTGAGCGACGCACGTCAACCGGAAGTGGCCGTTTTGCATTACTAAGCAGCAATTTTTCACTATTTTCTGGTAATTCGTCTCAGTAAGAGTAAAGATACTTAGCAATACATATTTGGTAGCGTCAAGGTATATTAAAAGAGAAAAAGGCTCACTTCCGGTTGACGTGCGTTGCTCAAAAACGTCGTTGCTTAAGCTCCCGTATGTCATCATTTGGACCGGTCAGGCCGCGAACTCAGCCGTGAACCATTTTTGCGAGCAGTTTGCGTCTTATGTAAGCCGTACTCGTATAAACGGTCCCTTTCGTGTCTTATGTAAGCCGCGGCTCTTTTTTCTCTCGTACAAACGACCCTAATGAAACGAGGTCGAGGCTGGGTGGACAATTTTTTACACAGCACTGTATGTTGTCAACCCAAGCCTGGAATTGGTGCCTTTGTTCACGGAAATGCAGGATCCACCTATTGAACTGGCTGTTTGTCGCCTAATAAACTTTTCACCATAGGACCAGCTTCATAGTTTTCATCTTTCTTGAATGAAAGATTTCTTCATTTTCTTGACAGAAAATGATCTTCCCCAAACTCTTCTTTTGGAAGATGAACAAAAACAGATTCTTGAAGCTCGTCAAAATACGGACATGTCTTCGCTTGTAGTGTTTAAGGTGGGTATACATGTGGCATCCTTTGCTGTGTTTTTCCTGCTGATAACTTATTTATTTATTTATTCCTCCAACTCCTAGCTGCGTGATACATAGTTATGTAAATATAACTGAGAAAAATAATAATAGTAACAGATAAAGATTTACAAAGGAAAAAAGACGCGTAAAATAGAAATTACAACACTTAAATTGAATTACATTGTATATTGGAAGGAGAGGAGAGGGGCACATCTAGATAAACTAATATTGTGCCCCTTAAAGTTATGTATAACAAAGGACTTAAGATTATTAATAAAAAAGTAAACCAAAAATGACAAATAGCTCAGAAAGTTATAAAAGGGATATTGATTCATTAGTATTGAGCCAGGTATTAGCGTAAAAGTGCTTTTTTAAACATTTTTTTAGATGGTTTGTCTCTAATGCATTGCAGAATAACCTTCCAAAAGAAACTTCCAATAATGCTGGGGCAAAATCTCCTAAGATTAGTTCGAAATAAAGGTATTGCAACTTGATTGGATGATTTACTGCGGGTACTGTAATTATGTAGTTCAGATACTAATGAAACAGGTATATTAGGAAACTTTTCATTGTGGAAATAATCATAAAAAAGCATACATGTGTTCAGTTTAACAATATCAGGAAATTTCAGAAGGCCTAAGGATGTGTAGTGTGGAGTTATTGATTCCATTAAAAGAACATCATTTATAACACGAACCGCTTTGTTTTGTAACTTTACGATTTGAGACAATGGACTTAGTTGTTCCATGTTATCAAAATAAGGGGCATGATGCCCATTATTTAGGTAGACTTTGACCATTGCCTCAATCTTTGCGCTAAAAATCGATGAAGTCGCCATCTTGGATTATGAGACATAATAGGGAGCTTTAGCATCGACGACGGCAACGGTAGCGAAACAAAGTCCCGTTTTTTCAATCGTTGTCGCGTTTATTCCAATTTGCAGAAAATGGTAAGTGCAGGCGAATTTCCCTGGAGTTGATTTCTTGAGGACCGCACTCAAGTTTAGAGAGAGGAAAAGAGATTCGTCGTCGCTTGTTTACGTCCTCCATAAAACTTGCAATTTGGCATTTTCACGTCGTAGTCGTGCAAGGACGGTAAAGAAATGTACAAAAAAGGGTGATGCACGTGCAAAGTTGTTGTTTTGCGTAATAAACCTATTGCTTTTTTGACGTCCTGGTTCCCGTCGCCGTCGTCGTTGCTTAAGCTCCCTATTGCTCTGGGTACGGTGAGGTGATGATGAGAATCCTTAGGGATTGTGTGGGTGTCGCGTTCTTCGCATAATCCAAGATGGTGACTACATGCTCAAAAGTAACGGCTCAACGGTTCTCAGCCAAAACCTAGAAATACTGCTAAAAGTCTATCATTTGCAAATAGCCTTGTTCGACAGACTTGCAGCAGGTTAATCATAAAAATATCTTTCTTCCTTCTGTAGGAGATCTTGGAGACCAGTGATTGGCATCGCGACCCAGCCATATCTAACTGCTTGAAGTCCCCTCTGCTGCGCTTGTGTGCCAGGTACCTGATGGGCTGCGATTCAAATTATTAAAGCAACTGCTTCTCAAAATCCTTGAAACTGAAGATGAGTTTATTGTCAATACCATCAAAACAATTTGAAATCAAAGAAGACCTCGAGAGAACGGTTCAGTTTTATTTAAAATTACTCTGCCATGACACTGTAAATCAGAAAAATCTGTTTTAGCCTAAAAGTGGGGCCGTTTCGGTGGGTAAAATTCAGTCCTATTTTTGAGTCTGGTTCGGCTCCGTTAAATCAGGGCTAATACGGTCCAATTACCTAGGGCTAATGTGGACCCGAGGGGCTGAAATGGGTCCCAGTGTAGGCTGGAGTAGCCTTTTGATGGGGCTGTTATGGCTTAATTTGTGTTCAAATGGATTCGGAGGGGCTGAATCAGACTTTGGCCAGCCGGGCTGAATTGGCACTTTCTAATTTTCAGTGTTGCACTTAGCGTCCCACGCAGGCGTTTTTAGGGGAGGGATGAAAAACGAACTCCCCAAAAAACGTTTGCGTGGGAGGCTGTGTTGCACTATACCTCAACTATAAATGCTATAAATGCATGTCACGGCTTTGGCTTTTGATTGCCAGTATGGAAACGGATCACAACTTGTAAAACTTGGGTAACTTTTTAAATTTAAAGCCCTTTGCTTTAGAGAAATGGCGATAAATCAATTATGCTTTGTTTTCGCTTTCTGTTAGAACTATTTCGTATCATTCATTTAGAGTTCCGAGTACGATTTAAGCTCGGCTTTGACGCCAAAAAATCATAACATGCCCCCTTTAAACTGATGGATTGATTAATTGGGAGAGGCGGAGGCTGATACAAATTCCACCCTCCTTTCAGTATGACCAATCGGAAGTAACAACAAACTTCGCTCACGTTTCAAGACGCGTGCGTTCGTTTCAAGCTGATTTCTAAATTTGTCTAGCATTTTGTGAAGACACAGAATAATTTAAAAAGTGTTATTTCAAGTGTTGTGTTAAAGTTTTGAAGTCCTTTGTGACTGAGCAGGGCAATTAATTACTTTGGCATGTTTTTAGATTTGACACCGAGTTGAAGACTGATTTATGACTAAAACTTATTGTGAACCGTTTCAGGTATCTGTACAAAGAAAAGAGAAGAGGATTTGTCATGGATCCTGTTGGTAAGACTGTTCTCTTAAACTGAGCACTAGGAGTATGTAACACATGAATATGCTGCAATTTGTGAATTAGGTCTTCTATGAAAGGGAACCTAGATAGTTGTGGTTACATTGGACACTTTTACCTTGGGATATTGGTGTGGTGCATGTGACCGGAATTTCCTGAGATAAATTTCCCGATGGAAATATCTATGGCTACGTCGAAAAGAAGAAAGAAAGCGCCCATGATATTTGACGTGTTAAATAGCTAGGGGGTGCCGATACCCAGGGCAAGAAAACCACACTGTAAATCAGAAAGATCTGTTTTAGCCCCCAAAATAGGGCCGTTTCGGTGCGTAAAATAGAGTCCCATTTTTGAGTCTAATTTGGTTTCCTTAAATTAGGGCTAATAGCGGAGCTCTCGGGCGCGAAGCGCGCGCAGCGGAGCACCATGGGTAAGAAAATGTGGTAATCTACCCATCCAAGAAAATTTGTTAATCACGTGACCGTACGCCCGACCGTCCGTCCGCACCACAGGCATACGAATGTGAAATAACTCAATCAACAGGTATCGTAACCCAAATGCAACTCGAGGTTATTTTGGTGGGAAATTGCATAGCCACCCGCGTCTGTAAAGCAGAGGCAAACGAGGAAAAGGGCAACAGAGATTTAGAGCGAGAGATAAAAAACAAAGGAGACATTTTTGGAGGAAGAACAACATGAAAATTTTGTAGCGGCGGTGACAAAAAGAGAAATGCTAGCGGCCGCCAATGCAAGGAGAAAATGAGCGGCAGTGAAAAAAAAAGTGAACGAGAACACGTACGACATTTCCTCCATAAAAAAGTTTCTGGAAGTTTGACGTTGTGGTCGTGCAAAACTACGGCAAAGAAATGTACAAAAAAAGTGTGCTGCACGTGCAAAGTTGCTTTTTTACTAATTAGACCTATTGTTGTTTTTTCACCGTTCTCCGGCGTTGCTTTCGCCGCTTAGCATTACACGATTTTATATTTTGTTTGAACAAACTATAAATATTATCGAGAGCTTCGCTTTTAGCCCTGGCTAAATCTATATTACAGTCTAATTAGCTAGGGCTGATTTGGTCCCAGGGCTGAAATGGGCCCTAGCGTGGGCTGGAATAGCCTTTTGATTGAGCTTTTTTGGCCTGAATTGTGCTCAAATGACTCCAGGAAGGGTTGAATCAGACTTTGGCCTGCAGGGCTGAATTGACACTTTGGGGCTGAAACAGGTCTTTTTAATTTTTAGTGCAATTTAGCATTCTTTATTAGACACCAACATGAAACCGCAATAAAAATTGTTTATTTTAGCGGGTTCCTTGCGAGCTGTTTCAGGAAAGGTCGATGTTCACGTGGCAGATTTTCACGTTAAGATGAAAGCAACCGGGCAATATTATTAAGGTTTTAAGGCAAGATTTCAGCTGGTTTCTTGGTTCAGATGTAAGAAACAGCTGTTAGAAAGATATTTACCAAAATATGTTCGTATCCTGACAACTGCAAACTGGAATCTAAGGCCTAGATTAAAAAAAATGGTATATACCCTTGCTGATTTTTATCAGGACTAAGATAGCAAATGAAATTCTTGCTTCAATTATACGTAAAAATGAATTTATTACCGCGAAAACGCGATTGAAGCGTAAGACTGGCTAATTTTTCTTGTTGAGTAATTCATGTGTAACCACATCTTACCACGTTAAATTTACCATGGATGTCTTACCGTTGGAAATGCCTTTTACCGTGGTATGTGTAACCGCACCTATCTAGGGGTACTTACCACTAGCTGATAGCTTACTCAATCTTCTTTCGCATTTCGTAGTCAGGAAAGCAGGCTGTCTTCTGTATAAACGGGTCAAGGGTTGCATGGGTTGCTCTGTGTACATGTCTCATGAGTAAGGAATTTTCTGTCCTGTTTTTTGGCTGTTGGTAAAAGTGACTGTAGCTTGCTTTTCAATTTTTTACTTTTTAAAGTCCAAGGCTTATGGAAATTTCGGCGCAGTGAAAATCATTTCTGATTAGATGCATGTTTCTTTCCCCGATATTGTTAGAGATGATTTAGAAATATTGTTAGGTTTGATGGTCTCTTTAGGCCTCTCACGCAGCTGTTAGTTCAAGAGAGGATACAGGCTTGACTGGTGCGCTTTATTGGAGCTTTGGCCGTCAGGCATCATTCAAAAGCCCGAATAAACAAACCATCAATATGATGATAATATTTTCTCAAAACAATGCCTTTTGTTGAGAAAAGAATTCCTGCACAAATGATCTCACATGTGTTATTTTTGCTTAATTGGTCTTCCTTTTTTTTTGTCAGGAAATTTTCACATCAGGAACGGTGCGTGCATGTGGAGACTGAATTGGTTTGCGGATTTAAGCGCTAGAGGATTCCAGAATTCCTTTGGACTTATGGTGAACTATAGATACGTTTTAGAAGAAGTGGACAAGAACAACCAACAATACTTACTTAACGGAACAGTGGCTGCCTCACCTCAGTTTCTAGAGCTACTATAGTAACCTTACAGGGTGCGCTTCAGGTTGCGTGATCGTGTGCGTTACTTCGTTGCTTGATCGTGATCGTGAACTCGTGTAACTTACTCAAAAAAACTACAGTTTCTAGAACTACTGTCGGTAGTAACCTTAACAGGTGTGTTTCAGGTTGCCTGATCTTATGGGTTACTTGGTTGCGTGATCGTAACTGCCTGTTCGTGTAAATTTCCTGGCTATACGTCTTCATGTGCTTTACATGACTGCGTGGGGAAAAAGCTCGGTGGTCTTAAGGGAGTGTAAAAACGTCTTTGTGTCTTTTTATGACGGAGATCCTGTCGAGATAGGCGATAAAATCGAGAGCAGAGATAACAATTTGACAATGGTTCTCATAAATGGCTCACAAACTTATCGTTAGGCTAATTTTAATAACCTAAAGCAATAATTTATCTTTTCGAAATGTTTAACCTGCAGGGACTGAAAAACAGTTATTTATTTAATTTTTCTGTCTTTACTACTATTAAAGACAGCGGATTTATCTGCCTCTAATTGTCCATGTATTTCTAAAACCAGTCCGCACCTATTCTTTTAGTAGCGTTTCCAGTCCCTACTCCGTTGGTTAGAATTAATGTGCGCCGGACCACCGGTCAGTTGACGGTCGAATTGCTTTGATATAATGTTGAATTTAAACCAAGAAAGTTCCAATGTTCCAGGGTAAATATCCTCATTCGCCCTAAATGGCCTCCTTCCTTTGACTCTTTGTTTAACAGAAAGCCCCCTCGAACAACGTAATTTTCTTCTTTATTTTATCGTTTGTTTACGAGAAGCGTGGGTATGGTAAACCTTCAATCTCTTGAAACCAGCTGAACGTTTTTAATGGAGACGTGTGCTCGCAAGCTGTAAATGCGTTTTAAGAAAATGCTACTCGTTGCTCGGCTTTAATGAAACTTCAGTAGGTATGTAATTGTAAACGTAATTCTTTTGTCAATTTATGGGTAGACTTGGTACCCAGAATTCGTGTCCCCCCAGCTGATTTACTCCCTACTAGACCATTCACAACTAGAGCCATACTATAAATTTCTTACAATCTAGTTTTGCCCAGATTCCAGATAACGATTTAAATAGGAAACTGTGCTTGTAGATGTGGTGAAAAAAAATTAGTCTTTCCCTGCGAAAATCGCCTTCAAATTAGTCTAAGTTTCAATCATGGAATTTCCATTGGAAACAAGGCGTGGGAGCTTAAGTGGCTTCCTCAATTCAAACGCCACGCGTTCAGCATAATTGTGTTCCAAGGATGTATTCCTCGAGGAAGTTATTTTGAAAACAGGGAAAAAATCAACACTTGCAAATCTAACCATCGCAGCTGACGGAAGTCGTTATGAAGGCCATTTGACAACCATTTTGCAGGGTTTTCAAAATGAAATTTAAAATGTCTTATTTTGGAGCACCGATCGTTGTTAAGCAACATGATGAAACTTGAAGCCTAACTGAATGTCTTTTTGACCAACGAAAACTGAAGTGTCAGAGGAAGCTTCGACTCCCGCCAGTTGTAACCCTAAAAAGCGATTTTATCTTTGATAATGTTCTTAAAATGCGATTAGCAAAATCGGATCTTATTTCTGTTGAAAAATATTTAGCTTTAGGCAACTTATCTAATTTTTATTTGACTTCAGTGAGCAAAGTGTCGGAACAAACCATTTACAGGCAGATGTCATTCTCTTGCGCCACTTGACATATTCATTCGAATTTCAAGAAAATTAATTGTGAGATACAATTGCTTTCCGAACATTTTTTATTGCCAGAAACCGGCATAAAGAGGCTTTCAAATTGTCATTCAGAATTGTATTTATTTCGTTCTGATATAGATCTATATGCTCCTGTAATTTTAAAGCGGTTTCAAACCATTATTTAGCCTCGCTATCGTCCTCTAGGTATATAGGATTTCACGACTACACACGGTAAGGATGGGGTGTATGATATGCGAGGAGCACTGAATAGGGTATAATTGGAATATTTTATACCTTTCAATTGACAACTGATTCATTGCTGAAGAGGCAATTAATGGATTTCCATAGTCTCTTGGTGAGTACGTGATCCGAACGTCAATGGCAAGGAAATAAGTTTGCCAGCAGTCGAAACGCTCAATCAAAAAAGCACGTACAGCTTCATTGCACTGGAAGACCAACACATATCTGTTCTATGCCATATCACTACCTTCTGCAAGGGTTGATCTCTGGTAGGTTAATTCATTGTCTTTGTTATCTTTAAAAAAAGTCTCTTTAGTTCTTATTTATTGACCGCTGTGTTAAATATGGACCATTATACGATAGAATCGCCATTTGTAAAGGGCTCAAATTTGTTTTTCAAAAACCAGTCGATAAATTTAAACGTTGGGGTAAAAAACTCAGTAGGGTAAGGAAGGGAGTCCCAGACATGTACGTTACGTTTCGTTTTGGCGCAAAAATGAACCATTTTAGGAGCAGCCAACCGAGTTGCTCGAGTAAAAATCTAGATTGTATTTTCTTGTGTTCGACTTACGACAAAAGTGTCGAAAAAACATTTCTTATGCTTTGCTTTTTGCTTGGTCACGCTTTTGGTCAGTCTCCAGGAACAACCTAGTCTGGCCTCCCCCCGCTTGGTCAAGTGAATTCATGAATGAAAACTCATGCTACATCTAATATATAAACTAAGGCAAAAGCGAAGCTCTCGCTAATATTTATAGTTTACTCGAACAAAATATAAAATCGTGTAATTGTAAGCGGCAACGGAAACGGCCAAAACAGTTAGTAGCAAAAAAACAACTTTGCACGTGCAGCACACCTTTTTGTAAATTTCTTTGCCGTTATTTTGAACTACTACAACGTGAAACTTATAGAAACTTCCTAGTTACACGTTCAGTATGGAGGAAATGCCGTAAGTGTTCCTGTTCACTTTTTTTTTCATGTTAAATCCTTTTAGTTCTTCTCATTCAATTTCGGGCCAGATACTGTAAGAGCAACAAGGAACTTTGAAGGTACCTAACATCATCATAGTTCAGAGACGTTGTCATCTAAAGTCGCCGATTGACATGAATAGCTCGTCAAACTCAACAGCATCGTCTTCCTTGCCTAAAGGTACCTCAGCAATGCCTGGTATAACTCCTTTCACTCAAATCACTTACTCTGTAATCGCTACAGTGGCTTTTCTTGGAAATACCTTAGTAATTTGTGTCTTTGGACGAGAGAGAACACTATTGAAGAAATCCTATAACATTTTGATACTGACCCTGGCCATAGCTGATGTTCTGACAGCCACCCTTTTAGTTACAAACCCAGCATTTGTTCTTGGTGACTCGTTTCCGTACCCAACTAATCACGTCATGGGAGAGATCTTCTGCAGATTTTTTTGGGATCGCGTTTTTCTTTTCCAGCTTGTGATTTTCTCAGCGTACATTTGCTTGGCTCTGTCAACGGAGCGGTGGTATGCGGTTGTAAAGCCTTTCAATTACAGCAACACTTTTAACACTAAAAGAACTCTCATTTACATTCTCGCGGCTTGGGTGTGGTCGCTTATTCTATGCGGCAGCACGTTTTTCGAAGTCGGTTACGTTCCGTCAAATCCACCAAGTCGGCGTTGCAAGTGGTTATTTTTGTGGGGTAAACAGCCGACTCGGGCTATCGTTGGCATAATTCAAGTCTCTTTCAAAATGATTTTCCCTTGTTTAACCATGCTTGCCTTATATGGGCACATGGTCTACAAGACCACCTTGTTCGCCGCCTCTTCAGCAGAGAGCAGGGCCAAAATGCGCGGGAAAATTACGCGTATGGTGGGTCTTGCCTGCCTGATGTTGACTGTATGTTTGGCGCCCAGTCAGACCAACTACGCGCTGGCAATGGCGGGAAAGGCGAAGCTTGATAACAAACTTCATCATGGACTTTCGCTTCTTGTCTTCATCAATAGTTGTGCAAATCCCTTCATTTACGTGCTGAGCAACAGGAATTATCGACTTGTAATAATCTGGAAACTCTTTTCTGCATGTAGCGGACGTGACCGAAGAAATATTTTGAACCGTGGTAGAATTCATCCTGTGCTCTCAGGATCAAGCACAGACGATAAAGGGGCTGGAGACAAATATATGGCGGAGGAAACACAATTTTAATGTGTGATCACTCAACCTCTTCTGTTTTAAAAATTGCGACGAAAAAACTAGGGACTATAATTTGCGCGGTACCCATTTGTTGACTCTAAGAAAGCCAAGAACGACAACTTCTGATTTTAAGCGACGTGTGCAAAGCCTCAATAAGTTTGATTAGTTTTTTAAAATAATTTTTGTCTTGTTTAGTGTGTGTATATTTTTCCACTCTTAAAGATCTTAATTTTTTTTTCGCTCGAAGATATTAGCCATATAGAGTAGCTACACTAAAATTCGAGTTTAAATAAAGATTATATATGTATCAATGTATGTATGTTGAAGTAGGAAATTAAGTTAAAAAGCCCAGAACGTGCAAGAGACGAAAAAAAAATTCTGAAACTAGACCAAAAAGAAATCCCTCAAAAGCACTGTCATGCTGTTTAAACCTGCATTAAAGAGCCACGCGTCCACGCGCGCGCGAATGAAAATTTCCACCTGGAGGAAACAGGCTACACACAAAGCTGTGCCCGCTTATATTTTCTTTCCTCTTTCCAATCTTCCTCGAGGGTGGTAATGTCCACGAGCATTTTGGGGATACTAGTTCTCTCGCTCTAAAAAAGGACGTCCTAAGTAAGGATTAATACAGTTCTCTTTTTTTCCATATAATATTATACTAAGATAATAGCAGTTTTTTGTGCCCTCTTTAAACGACAATTCCCTTGCCATTTAGAAAAGATTATATTAACATTGAGAGAAATTCACATATTCTGTTCTCCGTTTAATGTTCAATACAGTACTTCATCAATACCTATCCTCTATCATTGATACCTATATATCTAGATACACCATTTAACGTTTACACATTTTTACACAATACTCAGTGTATTAACATCAATGTTACAATTTTTCTAGGCACAGAATCGTGTTACATTCTTACTAATAATCTATTAACAAACAAGCTAAGAAACTGCTTACAACAGAAGGAAGCACTGTTCCTTTCTAGAATGATTAACATTTTGTTTCAAACATTCCGTTTAAGCCTTCTAAAAAGGCAACTCTTCAATGCAAAATGTTTAAATAATCCTGTAAGTTTAAAAAATCCAATACATGAGCAATGGCAAAAACTGTTTTGTTCGTTATTTGTAATTGATTTTGGAGCAAAATCCTTACATATTTATACCTAACCCAAATCATGCGAAGCATTGCTCACTTGGCTTATTTTGAACATAGCTATTAAAGTCATTAAAGTGGAAGGGTTATGAAACCCGTTAGACTCCTCTGTTATGTTTTTGTTAGCTTTTTTGGACCTGACCGTGCACATCGTTCAATACCATCCCTATCATTTTGAACTTACTGACCAATAGAAAAATCGCATTAATTTGTTCAGTTAAAACTTGTGAACAAAAAACAACGAATTG